TATTTAAAACTATGTTTCAAAGTTAAATAAGGAAATCGTTCTAATACCATTTCAATAACGTGTTGTTGCCTTTCTTCTAGGTCTTTAGGTAGAACAAAAATTGGTGATCGAAGTTTGAATGATGTAGGCTGAACATTTATCTGTGGTACAAATAACGTCTTTTTTTTGGCATCCTTTTCGATTTGTGGGGACTCAAAGGTTTCAGACATTATCCAGGGGTCGAGCCCAGTTTTATTCTTATATCTATTATAGAATCTAGAACGAGTTTTATCTGACAAAATGCTTGGTAATTCTAATTTGGCTTCCCACTCTAAATATTCGTGAGTTAATGTTTTATGACTCGTAGAGTCGCCCCTAAAGGGCCTAGCCTTTGCCTGCGTAATCATGTTCCCATTTTATATGATTGCACATCTCTTTAAATTAACAATAGCAGACAAAAATAAATATGCCTAGAGAGACATACTAAAAGGCCTAAGCGAAATTGTTTTAGTATCAAGTTTATGCTGTTACCTTAATTTCAATTCCATGTTATTCACATTTAAGATTATAAGATCCAATTTCATATCTGCCTTCTATACCATTTTCATCGTCATGATCTAACTTACATAGTGGGCATAAAGATTCATCACTAATTCTATAATAATCGTCATTTTCATCACTACCTTCTCGATATAAATTAGGATATTGATCCAATATTTTGCTACGAAAATAGGATCGATCATAAGTTGTCTTAGATTGAGGTGCTTTCAGAGGAATATATGTATCAGTCAGATGAATTTTTGAAGTCACATGACTCTGATCGTGAAGAATCTTCATGGTTTCATTGTGTGAACTTGTTACTGAATTCACATAATCTATTATATCTTGGATTTGTTGGTAATTGAGGCTTGAAATGGCATCTGTGCTATAAGAGACCTGTTTAATTTTCTCTAGTCCCAATATATTGAATAATTTATATAATTTTCTAGCTCTAGGAATTTTTTGACGCAAATTCACATCTGTTATTTCAGGTAGAAGCTGTTTGATTTCTGAATATACCATAGATGTTGCAGTTTTTTTCTTAACTCCACCAGCAACAAGGTTATCAATCCTTTTGTCATATTTTTCTATAAAGTAGCACCAGTATAAAATTGCTTCTTGACCAAGTTTATTAGCTTTCTTGAACATGCAAACTATATTTTGTGCGGTATCTGAAGATGGATCCTGTTCTTCTGAAGTTTGATCTGACATAGATGTATGTGCAGAGGACGATAACTGTTGCTTTAATTCCTGTTCCACAATTATATTTTTATCCAACTTGGCAATAACTTCATCATGCTGATCGGATTTAAGTTCCTCCATGCCACATGACTCCGATCGTGAAGAATCTTCACGGTTTTCAAAATTACATGCTAATTTGGATGCATTAACTTGCGATTGCTTTGATAAGACGCAATATGCTGAACTTATGCTCTCAGAACTAGCCTCATAAGATTGTGATAAGTCTTGCTCTGAAGTTAACATGTCTGTGACCTCAGGAATTTTAGTCACATCCTGAGAAATTACAAGTGCCTCTTGATCTCTCTGTTTCTTTTCCCGCCTCCTCTCTCTAATCTCATTACTAATGCTTTTCTTATATGCCTCATCCAAGAAATCGACCATTTCCTCATTGTTATCATCAAGGTCACTAGGTGCTCGTCCTACTTCATTATTGAGTTGGTCTATTACAGAATCGGGTACATCAACGGTTGGTACCGTCACCACTGGCATCGCTTCTTCATTTTGTGTCTGACCAAATGACAACGCCATCCCATCCACTGCTGAACCCTGTTCTAATAATGCAAGTCTAGCCTCAAGCTCTCCGACTCTAGACTTGAGTTCAGCATTCTCAGCATCACGCCTTGCATTCTCTTCAATAATTTGCTTCAACCTCGCATTCTCAGCCTCAACCTCAGCAAATTTCTTTTCAAGTTCAGGGATCTTATCATTTTCCTTTCTAAGCTTGGCAATCTCAGTTAAGAGTTTAGCATTTAATTCTCTTAATGAATCAATGGTGTGAATATTTTCCATTATTTTTATAAAATATGGGT